ATAATTTTTCTTGAGTAGGCAGGAAAAGAACAAAATATTCAGCCCACTTGTGTGGCTGTAAATGACAGCTTTGCTCCCTCAAGGAGGCTGCAGGAGCAGCAGAGAGGAGCTGAGCTGTGCCATGTGCAGTGTTCCAGGCAGCTCTTATCACCAGCAGCCTCCTTGTGCCTGCTGCTCCTTTCACCAGCACCCGCAGCACTCTGCTCTCCTGCTCTCCCAACCTCCACCAGAGCTCTTGTGAGGAATCCCCTGCTATAAATATTCACACATATCCTCCTCCTGCTTCCATCTTTCTCCAGCACTTGGGAATTCAGAACAAAAACTCCCACTGAAACAGAAGTGAGTTTGCTCCAGGCAAGTCGGGAGAATTCCCCCGCTGTGTTTGCAAAGCCTGGCTGGCTCACTGTGTTGTTTGCCCCAATTTAAAAAAAAAAAAAAAGAGGCTGCAGAGGCACTGAAGTCACTTGCCCATGGGAAGAGGCAGTGAGTGTAGGGATTTTTCATAAATTATCATGGTGACTATTAAATTCAGTGAAAGTCAGTAAAATGGCTCACAAATAAACCACAAAGTTAAATGTGCACCTTTGGGGGAAAGTGCTTACAGAGGGAGTTGTCTAGAAATGAGTGATGAGATAATCCTTTAATTTCATCTATTTCAGGAAGCAGGCAGGAGGATAAGAGCTCTGAGCCCCTATTAGAAAGTTAAGTCATCACTGCAATGTCAAGAAAGGTCAACACCTCAGTCTGCAGTCCTGGGGGAGGTTTGGAGGAAAGGCAGTAACTGGTCAGGGAACAAGTCCCTTTTTTCCCTCTTTAAATGGAAAGAAGTTCATGAAATTTGCCCCTCAGAACATAAAGCTAAATACTAAAACATAAAACTAAATAATAAATAATACTAAAACATGAAATACTAGAACATAAAACTAAAACTGCTGGAGGTTTATGCTGCTTATGGTGGGTACAACTGCTCACAGTGCAACAAAAGAACTGGGAGAGATAAAATGTGTGTGAATTTGATAAATCCAGTGACCACTGCAGCTTGGATCTGGGATCTGGACACCCCTTCTGCCCATTAAGGGACTCTTAAGAGGATCTGGCACTGGTCTTTACAAAACTGGGACAGGGCTGTGTGTGACCGTGTTCACAGGGGTCTGAGGATGAGGAAAGAGATGAGGATCTGACTCCATGTTTCAGAAGGCTGGTTTATTATTTTATGATATATATTATATTAAAGCTATACTAAAAGAATAGAAGAAAGGATTTCATCAGAAGGCTGGCTAAGAATAAGAAAAGAAAAAGAAGGAATGATAACAAAGGCTTGTGGCTCAGATTCTTTTTCTGAGCCAGCTGACTGTGATTGGCCATTAATTAGCCACAACCACATGCGACCAATCCCAGATGCACCTGTTGCATTCCACAGCAGCAGATAATCAATGTTTGCATTTTGTTCCTGAGGCCTCTCAGCTTCTCAGGAGGAAAAATCCTAAGGAAAGGATTTTTCATACCAGATGTGTGTGACACTGTGCCCTCATGGCATCCAGAGCACAGTGAGGGGTGAGCACTGGAGAGTCTCCTTTCCCCCTGTGGGTTTGGGCACACTCCTGATTCCAGTGCCTTTGCTTTGTTTTGCCTTGCAGGTAATGATATCATGCAGTGGATCCTTCAGCGCTTGAAAATCACTGCAGAAGGTGGGTAAAAATGGGAAAATTGAGCCTTTCCCAGCTTCCACTCATAAAACCAAACTCTCAAGCAGCAAAACCTTTTAGCTGAATTCTCCCCTGCATGAGAGCTCACTTTTAATTCCAGTGAAGTGTTTCTGTGCAATGAGAACATCTGCATTCTCCATTTTCAGAGGCACTCCACCTGGGAGACCTGTTTGTGAAATATGGATATATCTACCCTCTCCAGGAGCCAAAGAACCTCACCCTGAGGGCAGATGGCAGCCTCTACAGGTTTCAAGTGAGTTGCAGCTCCTTGAGAGGGAGTTCAGCACTGGTTTTGATTAAAGGCAGGCAGCTGGGGCACTTCCCAGGAGCTGTGGAGCTGTGCAGGAGGAAGGAAAAGACTCAGAGAAATCTGAGATTGCAGTTTACAGGGAAACTGTGGTAGTTTCTTCAGTGAAATCAGTGTACTTGTTCAGCCTAAAAATAGCTGTGCTTTCCTCCAGAGAGTGTTCCCTTCCAGATCTTAAAGCAGCAAATGGAATTGCTGGTTGGACATAGATGATGTGGGGGCACTCAATAATGAATATTCGAAAAGCACAGTAAGAACAGGATGGGATTGAGGTTCACGGCTGGACTCTTTCTACTGCTCTCGGTGGGAAATCAGGATATTCCTGATACTGGGAATGAGGAATCCATGGGTTCAGGGGCTGTGTGCACTAACAGGAGGCTCCTTTCCTTGCAGACTCCTTATTTCTGGCCAGTGCAGGGCTGGGCTGCTGATGACACTGACTATGGTGAGTGGTGGCACTGCAGGTGCCCAGGGCTGTGGGTTTGTC